ATATATATATATATATATATCTGGGTCATGTACGTACAGTAGCGCTCAAAGTCTTCGGTTAAATGGCTCGTCAGCCTATTTTGAGCGTGGGTGTATTGTGAATATTTACCACTATCAACCTGCAATCTGATCATGTTCCAGATATTTCAAAGAGCACGAACTCAAAATCGACTGAAAATACAGATGATGGCCCTTCTGAAAATTCTTTTCTTTTTGTCATGTCTGAAGTGTACGAGCGGTAATGCCGGACACAATAGATGAGAAAAACGCACATAAGGTGGGAATAAGTGCAGACGTCAACAACTTTAGTTCTAGTAAAATTCTACTACCGCACCTTGCTCTATCTGTGGATTTATTTATTTATTTATTTATTTCATACGCTATATAAGACAGCGTGAGAAAAATATAAATGCGAAACAACTTTAAACGAAACTCGACAACAAATCCTAACAAACACAAGATGTGGATGTTGCAGCTTTGCAGTCAAATAGTGTTGGGTAGGGTGAAATATGCTCCAGGTGAACATATCTCAATTTCACGCGACTTGGTCTACTAAGAAAAAAGTTAAGAACGAAAAAGCGTCAGAGTATTTCACCGAAGACTTTTGAGCGCTACTGTACTTGAGGTAGAACAGAGTATTGTAAAGGTGGAGTGAGTGGGGCGTTATATATGGAGGCACACGCGCGAACATACCAATCCTGTCAATCTAATATTCGTTGGTACTCGTTGAAAGTATTTGGCGAGTATGTTTTTTGACTTTACCAGAAGGATTATACGATATTCTACTATGTTTCTCCTGAGCGTTACCCAAAGGGACCGTAGCCCTTGGGCGTTGCGGAAAAGCGTTACGTATTCAAACATGGAATTTCAGTTGTAACCAATTTCACACATCTTTGGTAGTTTTTTTCCAAATTCTTTGTGGATTTCATGTATTTTACTTTTCCCACTTTGATCTCTATGACTGCCGCTGCGTTCAAGACTCACGACCAAGCGGCAGAAGTTTTTCGAGGAATTCTTGAAGTAAACGTGAGCACGAAAGCGTTCGGCATGAATATCACCGAAATAGCGAGAATCTAATGTTCCCCCTCTCTTCGATTCTTCGACGTTCCTAGATAAGGCAATCCTTGGGGGAAGAACGGGAAGAACTCGATGTACTACTGCAGGCAGGGCAGGACAGAAGCTGTTTAAAGACAGACATCATTTTTTTGTCGATTTAATTTAAATTTTTGGCGATGTAATGTGTCACCATAAGTTTGCCCACCTGTACAAAACATTTCATGATCGTTCATCTGTCTTCGGAACCACACATTATTGCCCAACTGTTTAGGCACATACATATATGGCACGTATTACATGCTCACATTTGCTCATTTGAAAGTTTCCATACACTAGAGTCTCCTGGTTATTGTTGAATCTATGCGGCACTTAGCAGTGCTTCAATAAGTGCTGAAATCTTGTTTTCATGTATCACTGTGTGATGAAGTGTGCTAAAAAAATTCCAGAAAGAGCATCTGTTGTTTGCGCTCAGCGTTTGTATTTCACAATTCAAGCCTCCCGTCCCACCAGATCTCGTTAAAGGTGAGATTCAACTCGGTAAAGACTCTGTTCTTTTTATTCTTCCATCTGTGCCGCGTTTGAAATGAGCGGTCGTTACCATTTACTCTCCTCTGCAGTTCACGAACTTCATAGATTTATAAGAGATGCGTGAGAGGGTCAGAACCCCAGAAAAGCAGTACGCAAGGTTGATCACCATTGGATTCGGGCAGACGCACTTCAGTACGAATGGCTTGATCGATGCTACATAGTGCTATTTTTAGGTCTTCTGCCTTACATAAGCACTGCGAACAGTGAATTATAACTATGTAGTCCTTCCAATAAATAAAGCATTGAGGGATCGAAAACAGTCTTTTTCCCTTCTCTGGGAAATCTGGTCTGAAGCCATAATTTTCGGGCCAGTTTTATAGAACGTTGTAATACAAAACTTTTAGTGCTAGTGTATCAGGTTAGATTTTTTTCGTTGACAATACAACTTCGTTCCGAGTTTTTCCAGTCCACTTCATCGAATTGGGGAATCCTACGTTGATTCAACGCGAAGCGAATCGTGCAGAGGAACTAGTGAGCGAAGTTACTCAAGATTATAATCGTCCCGTTGAATTTAGAACTAAGGTTTGCGACCAGTTAATCTGGTTACTTGATCTGAGATCAAATTTTTTGAAACCCCAGTTTTTAGGAAGGTCCCACGCACCACGCTATCGGCAACGTAAAGTGCCCTTGCGAGCATACTGAAGAAATTATGGACTTCAATTCATACTTAGTTGTTATTGAGGTTAGCTGTAGTTCTAAAGACTTCCTATTTCCAAGGACTTTTTGTATTGAAGTATACGGTAATATATCAAGTCCTGGAACTCCTCGCTCATCTCAAGCTAGTGATTACTATGTATTCCTGACCAAGTATAGCTGCAACTGCACCTGTGCGCAATATTGGAAAAGAACCAATGTTGTGCAGCTATTGATGAGAGTATTCTGGATGAAGGAACAATATCCGTAATTGTGCATTGTTACCTCAAGAGCGGAGCGTTCATGNTGAAGACCGACTTTGAAAAAGCTTGGAACGAATCCAATAGGACTTTAATGAGACAGAACCAAAAGTCTAATCCATCGTTACATAATTCCACGATTCTCTAGTACTAGAAATAGTCGGATGAATCGACTTGCTCTATCAACAAGACGGAACAACCAGCAAAATGAGAAATCGAGAATCTTCAGTCTTGCTGCAGAAAAACCTCCTACGATGGAACATTACACGTAATTCATACTTCCCGTCATAGTTTCCAATTGTAGATCATCCGATGCATGATGGGAATATTCAAGAAAAGTACACGGAGAACCGGGTCTGCATTACGTGAGCCTTCTTTAGCAGTACTCTCGATCAACCTAGCTTGGAAATAACTAAGAATATGCGCGACTAGTATAAACACCGTGTACAACAATGTGATGTGCCCATTGAACACGTACAGTGCGCACACTATACAAAATCGCCATCCTGATGGTATGTACGTATGCATGGGAACTCAAATGGTAGCACCAATTTTGTTTATTTTCTTTTTAGCACTATTCATCTAAGCGTATTGGAGAAAAATTCCAATATCTCAGGTCCGCAAATCGCCCGATGGTACAATTTATCAAAACGAGGAAGGATGTGCATACCGTCGTCGCTACGGTTCCAACAAAATGATTATCCTGAATGACATTGTTGCGTTGATGAGCAAAACGCCAGTGCCTCGCTATTTGGAACATATGCTTTGTTAATGGCATCTTCCAAAGCGAGAAAGAAAAGAACGGAACTTTCCAAGAATCAGTAGTGTAATTAAAGCAAAATTTCATGCAGAACATTACTGTTTTTATGTTTCCACCAGAACTGGTTAAAATAGTGCCGAATTTTGTACAGTATCCCCTACTTTTATGGATCGTCGAAATGAGCGTTTTGCTGCTGTCCGGTCTCATGAGTGCCTAGTGCTCTTTCGATTGATGTCGTTGTTTGTTGTGTGTTATCCAATAGAAAGTTAGATAAAAACTTCAAAGACAGCCTAGCATAGTCGACGAAACAGTTGAAGCTCAGCCGTAAACAGAGTCCACTGCGAAATCATTAGACAAATAGATTCATCATAGGGTGCTCTCAGAAACGAGACGTCTTCGAATGTGGTTGGGTAAACCTTCCTACTTACTACGTAGTGTAAATTCATCATCTACAGAGTTAGTCAGATGATTGTGAGATGAAGGTGCGGTTGGATTTGGGGTGTAGGGCCATGAAGTTCCAGTGAATTTATTTCAGACTCGAATCTAGTTTTACTACGCTTACAATTCATACATATNTCTGTGAAAATGGCGGGGTTCGCGTGTTCAGGCTATAATCTGTTACCTTTGCTTGAACTTTCAAACTCATAGGGGGTCTTCCCGAAAATCGAGCCTATCCTTTTGTCTTCGCTTGGAATAGTGCTTGCTCGCCATATCATGCTTGACGATTTCCGTGCACGCTCATTTGTTCCATTATCTCATCATGTCTTCTTCTTATCAGTTCTCGGAGCACATCGCTACTCAATTCAAACAAGAACTCTTCAAGAGTTTATTGTAATTTCGACGTGATTGAACTTACAACTACGCCTTTCCAACTTCTAATACAGCGTCATGACATTATTAAATCTAAGGAGCATCATTTATCATATATTTCTTCAGTACAGTTCTCAGTCTTGGCTGGAGAGTACCTTGAAACGTTGGTCATGCTTTCTGTTCTGCCCGATTTCCTAAGACTTTTCTATGCTATCGCCTCAAAAATGCCATCTATCTCACCACCTCTGATGTGAAAGATCTTTTGAATTCCACACAATCAAAACTCTTCGTAGACTTATCACTCAGCAGTTTTATTCTAAACCATTGTAAGTGTTTAAGTGTTTTTCAACCTTTTATTATCGATGTTTTTCCATTGATATCAATGTAAAGGACCCTCGTGAAGTTTGTTAGCGGTGAAATCCCATTCCCAAGTAAGAAGGGAAAATTCTCAATGGCTTATTTCGCAGACTTAGTATATTGTAAGAAATCTAGAGCGAACTTCAAAGGTGAATTGAGTGACAGTATTGCACTTGTCAATGTGATAGCGTAGTATTCCCAGCAGGAAAGTTAAGCAAGCTGATCACTTCTTTGATCTCACATGAAGTATTTTTTGACTCCTGAAAATACACAGCATTGAATTACACGAAATTATCTTATCTGATGGCCCACAGCCATTACTCGCCTTGAAAAAAGTTGGAGGTAGCTAATATTTGTTGCTGGACCTTTCTCATGAATGGAAGGCGAGTTTCTGAGGTTGAGTAATTGTCCAGTGTGCACAGAAGAAAATGAGGCATTAACAGGAACATACCAATTATATGTATACATTCTGATCCAGTTGAGTCATCTATTCTGCAGAAATTACTCGAATGAGTGTTTTGACAAATCGCTCATACGTTTTTCCTGCTCTGTTTCAGTATGTAGAATTCATATTGTGGTAAATGATGTTAGCTATGTTAGCTTGGCAAGACGTAGAAAATCTATTTTTATCACAAAAAGAATTGATCGTTGAAAAGCATTTTTTCTCAGCAGAGACTTGGAAAGATCAGATTCAGCAATGTCCTCGGCTGTAAATCGACTTGGATGGGGTGTGACGCTGTCGGCACTGGACATTGTGGGTTGCTTGCTTTGCGCCCTCCTACATGGACCTACCCCGTCATGGTCCAACATAACATCACAGCTTACGTCATTTTCTGTTTTCACCAGGTATAAAGCTTCCCAGAGTGGAACTCACTTTTTTCAAATTGCCATCTCAACAATTTCTTGAGAGAATATAATTTTTTAGCTTTTTTTCTTCGTTCACCTTATGAAATATAACTTTTCCAAGAGTAGTAATTCACTTTTTTCAATAGTGCGCCACTTTCCGCTCCGCCACCTACGCCCTTAGCACTACAATACCCACTATAATTAATCGTAGAAAAAATCAAAAAGACGGATCCGAATTCATTTGCTTTTTCCGGCACTGTTTCCCCATTACTGCCCTACTTTGTCGAGAATGGGCTTGATTTCCATCGAATTTTTTTTCAAGAGGATGAAACCGACTAGAAACTTGCTCAAGGAGGTAATTTGACCCGTAGAACACGAATATCACAACAATTCGTTATGAAAATACCTGGCGGCCATATTGCGGAAATTTATCCGTGTTGAACGTCATCCATCAAGTTCCAAGACCAACATAACTAACCCAACGGTCCTCTTTAGGGCCACATAATACGAATAGCATTAATGTGAACAGTTACCGTGCAGAGTAAATATGGTATTCATGTTCTAACTCACTACTACTTAGGGGCAAGTTTTCAGCAAGGTTGGTGACCCAGCTCCATTTGGTGCCGGCGCCTGTGGCGCGAGCACTAAGCATCTTCATGACGGGTGGATGCGATATTCGTGTTCTACGGGTCAAATTACCTCTCTATGCAAATTTCTAGTCGGTTTCATTTTCTTGAAAAAAAAATTCGATAGAAATCCAGCCCATTCTCGACAAAGAGGGGCAGTAAAGGGTAAATAGTGCTGCTTTTCCTCATGTTGGTTTTCACTATTTTATAGGGGATGCTATGTAGTCAAACGCAGCCCTTGCGCTCCATAAAACTCTGCGTTGCAAGTCTGAAAAGCTATTGCACCATGCTTTTGAGTGCATGGTGCAACAGCTTTCCAGACTGCATATGCCTCTGTTATAAATCGGAGATATGGTTTAGTTGTGCTGTTTGTTGTATTTTGTGGATAAATCTGAGCTGCAGCGTGAGTAGCTTGACCCTTTCGCTTTACTCAAAATAGTTGTACAATAATTACGATAAATCCAAAGATTTGTGCAGCAATTGCTGGATTTACTATGACAATTCTTTATTTTTGGCTTAGCACTAAGGCATGAACTCTCATTCGGACATACCACTTTTACTCAACAGACAAAGTGGTGTCTGTTATGAAAGTGCTGACAGAGCATCTTACTGCTGTGCAGTGCGGTGTTAGCGCTGCGCAATCAGAGTAATGAGGGCGACGGCGAGAAAAGTTATAGACACACCTAAATAACAACATAACTTAAATAAAAGTCATATAAGCACTGGAACGTAACATCAACTAGTGTTCTGATAATCACAGCTACCATATTCAGTACCGTGGACCTGTTCCTTTTGTGTGCAACACGAGTGATATTATGGATACTACCTGCTGTGTTCCATAAAACGGGTCGCGCCGACCACTTGCCCCAACTGAAACAGGTAGGTTTGATTTAATTCCGTTTATCACTCGATCAAACTCAAAAAATAAAATTCTTTCGAGGTGATTTTCTGCACGTCACTCATAATGTATGCTGCGAGCCCTACGAAATTACTATTACTCACAGAGAAGCTCAGTCCTGGTAACGTAACTCTCATAATATTATTTTTTGATTTTTTCAATTCTTTTTTTACGAATGTCAGAAAGTTGTAACTAGCCTTTCTTCTGCTCTCGAACTGTCCAATGAAATCACGTTTGTCAGGCTGGTGGTCGCCAACCTGTCTTTTTGTGGAGAAATATCATCGTGACATGATTTTTAGAAAAGCATGAAATAAAGCTTATGGATGCCTAATGCTGGCTCAACATGGGTCCAATTGGTCTACATGGATTCAACCGACGGAAAAATTTCGATAAGATGATCAGTTAGAAGGTTCCTGGACCTGTATAAGGGAATTTGGCACAATATCAGGGGTTTGAAACTCGTCACAAGAGCCTATACAACCGGAGGACTGAGTTGTAGGACAAGACATTTCTGAATCCTTTCCGATTTTCGAGCCCCCTTTCTAAGCATGTTCGTCAGAACAGCATGGCAGAACTTAATGCACCTCATTTATATGCTGAAATGGCCAATTTGGTCTGTTGAGCATTCCTTTTCATTAAGTTTACCTCAACCTTCCTTCACTTGATTCATTCTCCTTTATACATAGTGCACAAAGTTTCTATATTTGCTACCCTCATCATGTGCTCTTGTGCAGTCAATTGGACTTGGCATGCCAACGCTTATATTAAAATAAAGAACGCATTAAGGTAGATCAATCTTGTTCTGTGCTCCGCCTCGAAGAAATCCGGTATACGGGCTGTACTAGTATCGATTTAGAATTCATATGAGTAGCAGAGCCCACTATTTTCAGGAGACACTCTGGGAACGTCTCGTCCGGAGTGTCTCCTGAATTTCATTTCTTGACACATTCTTTGTCTTTGTTCAATTTTTCCCGCTTCCTGGCTGGGCCCTTGGAACCCAGTCGGGAAGCTTTACCCTAACAACTCCTTTTTTGGTGCGTGTCCCACCTATTGGCGTGTCACGCGAGCTCTTTTCTTCGAAGTTTCATCCCACCTATGCCAAGAGCCTGGCCCGACTCTGCCAGGCTGTCCTCGGGTAATATAGAATTTCGTGAAAGGCAGGCATACAGGCATACAGGCACACGTCACAGACAGACAGACAGACAGACAGACAGACAGACAGCAGACAGACAGACAGACAGACAGCAGACAGACAGACACGGACAGACAAACAGACAGACAGACAAGCAGTCAAACAGATAGACTGAGAGTCACACAGACGCGAATCCTTTATATAAAGTACTGATGAACACATCCTATCCGCTGAGAAATGATTATAATTCAAGAGCGTTTGTGGACACGGTTACAAAATTATTGATATTAGTCCACCCATCAAGTGCACGTTCCGCTCACAACCAATATGTGATACCACTCTCTTCGGTATCTTTGAGTGACATTTTTCCGCGTTCAGCAACTTTTGGAACATTGTCGTGAATTTTGGTAAAACAAGCTTTCATTTGCGAGCAGGCCTCGCCCGTCGTAGGACTTTCGCCCAGTTTAGGCATATCCAGCACACGTTCGACCTTGCTTATTCCTGCAATTTTTTTTTCTGTCGCCCAGGCTTTTGTAGAAGCAACAAATGAAATCATTCGGTAGACAGCCTCACGTAGAGGTAGCCTCGCCCACGCTTTTCTTCAAGCAAAGCAAGAGTTTCTTCCCGAGTACCGCTCAGATCATGTCCATCCGCTGAACTCATGTTTACTGTTGATCTTGCTCTCTAAAGCAGCCATCCGAAACGTGATCCTACCCTTCCAGGCATTTTTCTGATAATACAGGATTACCTGACAAACAGATAGTTCCTAGCGCTTTATACATAGTGGGGAGGATTTTTTGATGCCCACTCTCCCGCTCATAAGGTTACCGCTGCCTTGCTCTTTCGATCCTGGTGCTACAGTTTCCTTGTCTTGATTCTGATGCAGTCTAATGCATAATGCCTTACAGCTTCCTTGTACAGTGCTGCAGTTTTCCCTTAACGCTGTACTGTACCTCTCACAAGGATTCATTTTTCTCCAGGAATCCATGACTTTTTCTGAGTTGAGATTGACCACTAATTATAATGGAAATAAGTGCAAGTCACTCTTCAGATCGTCAATCCAGCAGATAGCTTTGAAAGTTGAAAATGTTACCTTTCTGTTGCAAATTTTGATAGCTTCCCTTTCGAAGTCTTGATTTGCGATCTCGGGCTGCATTAGCAGAGGGTTTAGGATGAAAACCTTCAATAATGAATAATTCTCAGTGGTGAAAAAATAGCTCCATCGTAAAGTATGATTCTCAACGAGCTCATTTTCGTGCTGCACAGGTATACTACGGCTACAAGAGGGCGTTTGAACAAATTGTAGGCCAGTACCGATTGTGCTATGGATTGCATAAGCGAATGACTATAACACAAACATTTGCGGCCCTGTCTCAATGAGTAGTTATGGCAGTTTGAAGCCGTGAGACCATCGTGAGAAATCAGGCTTTATTCATTCGAACTGCTTTTCCTTGAACCTCCTATCAGCATGTTTGAAATGGCGCCCTCAGAGGTCAAAAAAAAAAAAACACACGCAGGATGTAGCCCATCCATTTGATTCCTTAGCAGAAGTTCGAGAGCAAAGCTTTTGAAATTATCACCGATCGAATTAAATATAAACTGACGCTTTTCCTTGGTCCTTATGCTATTTGTTGACCATGCAGTTTCCATTTCAGGAACTTACCTACCAGTGGGGGATTACGCGTTTCTTGTGTGGAACTTTTTTGCTGCTTTTCTTTTGGACTTGTCATGGAAGTATTACTTCAGCTATCCTCCCTCTAGCTATATATTACTTGATGAACAGGACGAGGTAAGCAGAAACTGAGCATGTATCATTTACTACTTATAAAGTAGGCTGTATAGCGACATAAGAATGTAAGCCATCTTGAGAGGCACCAACCATTAGTAGCTCTCAGGCGGTATATCATTTTGCAACAATTTTGAAGACACTTGTGGTCAGTGTTGGGCGATGAATGCACTCGTGTGATTTTTGATCTTTTCTTTCTTAATTTATCTCTGATACTACTTTTATTGAAGGGAATTCAGTATATGGGCGCTCTAACGATTTTCTGACTCTTCTGAGGTGGTCCAGTAGTACCCATTCACAATCTCTTCACATACATATTAATATAGCATATGCCCTTAGAAGAAACTGTGGTATCACCAATTGTTTCAGAACTTTTCGCTGTATGCGGGAAGCGAACTTAACCTGCACGTTTTAGATTACACGATCCCTCTAGTATGACGCTTAGTTTTTGTAGTTGGATCACAATCGAAGGTTTGTCTTCATGGAGTTCTCTCCGCTAACACCAATGGTGTTAGTGAAACTGAGGCTCCTATACGCTTCTTCTGGTCCTATAACGAGTTTCTCCGCATTTTCGACCACCTTTAATACCAATTTAACTGCTTTCTTTTCTTGCTCTCAATTTAGCTGGTTTTCTTGACTTTTTCAAACGTAACTTCCTAGATGTGAATGCCTATCTCTGAATGTGTTCACAAAGCAAGTTTTCAGCCGTCTAAGTGAATTGTGATATATTTTCAAAGACTTTACTCCTAAAACATGGTCTAGCATCATCATATTTTACTAATATTGAATCGATCTCTCTTTATTTTCGATTTCTCAAAGCAGCAATTTGTATAGGAGCAATTATAACAAGTATAACATCAATACTTTTTCGCATGACTTTTGGCGTATGTGACTGCTTAAGGCGAAGTGGCATGAACTCGATGAGCTCGCCGATCTCCTCCTGTGGATGTCCTCACGTGCGGTTTTCAGTTGAGGATCTTTTCGTGCTGATTGGAAGCCCTGAGTCCTTCGATTTGACGCTTGAGTCTATCCCAGGTTCACTGGGATTAAGGTCCTGGATTGCAATAGAGTAAGGGAACCAGCTAGTGAGCAGCTTCAGTTTGTGCTCGGGTCCTGCTGGAAATTTAAGTCACTGGAGCCAGTATTGCGAACGAACGGCCACATCACAAGCTAAATAATGTTGAGGCTTATCTTGGAATCCAGCTTTCCCTCGACGCCGATACGAGAAAACCAAGTTGTTTGCAGTAGAGGCCCAGTGGATGATCACCGTACCCCTTCACCATTAACGGTCGGCAGCTGGTAACTTGCATGGTTTCCAGTACCGATTGGACATCATTTCATTCCTCCCGTATTGCAAAAACCCTTATTGTCGCTCCAGATGACCTTGCGCTACTGCTAAACCATCCAGTTCTTGTGAGCATGAGCCTAATCCAATAATTGCTTACCAATTATTACGTCACGAAATCTCGAACAATGTTTTCAGTTCAATAGTGCAAGCAGTATTCTGATCCAAATGTTAGGACCGAGTTTTATTCACAAAAATCCCGATAATTTGAGACATTCCCATTCCTTATCCACAGTGCAAACTCATCCGAGAATTTGCTTCGCTCTCACGCATAGAGCGCTCTGTGTAGAGGAACATCTCTCTTTGGATCAAAAAACGGCAAAGCAACATTGCTTCTAGACGGTTGTTTCCAATGTTTTCTACAGTGAATGAGGTCTGCAGGCAGGTGGTCAACGGAAAGTGCACTCCTGCTCTGCAAGAGTTGACCAGCATTTTGTTAATAAGTAGTGCAAACTTGTGCACGAGGATATAAACCCTACCATGCCTCTGAGTCCATCCCCCTATGTCCTGTGCCAACGCTTCACAGCTTATACAACGATTGGAAGTGCTGTTGGGTTCCACTGAACTCCATGTTACACGGAGGAGGTTATTCCATGACCTTGCTCCTCGAAATGTTTCCCAGACTTGCAATGTAGATTTGAGATCAGCCCTAAGAAAGACATAAGGCGGTGTTAATCTAATCTCAAACGATGTCTGCGACCTAGGTAAAATTTCCTTCGTTAGCACTATTTTCCTGATTGCAAACTTATTATTAAATATCTCAATCACTCAGGACGATGAGCTCCCACCAAAGGAGACTTTCGATTTAATTTTCCGTCTTCTACAATATTGCAAACGGGAATGGATCTGGCACCTCTCAGGATTCTCATGGCTATTCATCTACTCTGTTAGTGAGTGATTAAATTCAAGCTTGTATTCTGTTTTAATTATAAAACCTAGAACATAGACTTCTGCAAATCACCTCTCACAAAACTTTCGTCTCCGTCTCCGTCTTTCTGTGTAATGTTATTTGATTGAACATCAGTGCACTATCACCTTCTGTGAGAAGTGAGGGATAGTGCACTGATGTTCTCCGCACCTTGAAAATTACTTATCGTATCTGCGCTGAATTGATGGCAAAGAGCAAATAGTGATTCTTTGCTGCGGTAGTTGAATGATCGGAGAATCTAAAGTCTTACGGTAAAAAAATCAATGATAGAGCCATGGCGAAACCCAAAAGCAGCACCCAAGTTCTGAGGGCTACCGGGAAAGGAACAATCTCGGCAAGGAAAGATAGTTCGAATTGGGAGTAGATGCAACAATGGCTCAAAGATAATTTTTTGGGCCTGACTTGGGTACTTGCTCAAAAGCGGGAACAGGAGTAAGCTTTATGCTGAAAAACACTCTCGATTTCATGCGTGCTTCCGGTTGACTTTAGAATTCTCTCGATATCAACCCAGTAAAGTGGGGCGTTTGGTCCGATATGGAAAGGGGAACCTGTATTTCGAAACACACAACGGTTGCTATTTCTGAGAAGAAACCATACTGGCCGCCACTGGAGAGCTCTCGGAATATAGTTCGTGTAAGAGTCTTTCATGTAAAATAACCGCACCTTCATTTTGTTGATGCTGTGCAGAGAAAGAGGTTTATGTACATAAACTCAGCTGGTGTCGACATGAGTTACAGTTTCTGTAGCTAATTTAGTCTTTTTCACCATATTTGTGCGTATACGTATAAGAGCTGCGCTCAAACCACTCGAACTACTTGTTCATAATACTTGTTAACAATTTCTTGATTGTTATTCCTAGCTTTGGAGGGCTTTTCCACATACTTGGTATTATCGTACTTATGAGAAGTTCACCGTGCGAAATCGTATATAAAGAACTATACGTATTATACAAACCGATGAAACGAGTTAGCAACATACCGATATTAGAAGAATTGCCCCTAGCGTTTGCCAACAACACAGATAAAATACTTCGGTTGACCAAGCACGTTTATTAAAAGGTCGCGACGCTAATATACTGGAGTAAGGGTAGGAACTGACTCCATGGAGGATAATGTTGGGATGATATCCAGCGCTCCAATAAGGATATTTTTCACATTCGAAGTTCAATCATTTGCGCTCATAAAGGGAATTTTGTATGGACCTGGTTTTGTGTCGACACAGTAACGAAAATTCAGTCCGGCACTCGGCTCTTACAGTAATCCGGTACGTGTTAATACGCAAATTTTTAACCGTCACATATACGACGCGTCGAAAAGGGGCTTTGGGCCAGAAGACGAGGGTGGGCGGTGGAGTAAGCCGGGGGGGGGGGNAAGAGCCTAGTGCCGGACTGAATCCCCGCTTCAGTTTGTGTCGACTACCTGAAATTATTTCGAAATACAGGAGGTTCAGCAGCTAAATCGCAATGATTACTTACCCTTTTCAATTAACTCTTTCAATATTTAGCCCGAATCTTCTCACCATATTATACCGGCCAGGTTATTGCGACTGTGGTTGCGACAAAATCATACGCATCACTGGCATCTTCCATCTATATCATGATCATCATCTCACTTGTAAGGTTGGTCGAAAATTGATCTGTACATGGAAAAATATGCCTCGAAATAATGTGTCCCGAAATATGCTATTTCAGCTTTTTAAACACCGACCAGTACACTCTCCACTTGAATTCATTATTGAATCTTTCTAAGTACAATCAAGA